CCACCTCCACCACCACCAGCCTTCATAGCCAGCCCTAGGTCCTAAACCGCACAGACAAAAGCAGCCAGAGCAGTCAATCAGCCAACTACCAGAACCGCACACCTGCACCTGCATAGCTTCTATCCAGCCAGCTGTGCCGCAAGCCACCGCCCAGCTTCCTCTATCGCACGTCCAGCAACCTGCACAACATAGTAGCACCCTCCCCCCTTTGTGCGTCCGTTCCTGGTTGCTCCTGCTGCACAGCCTCTGTCTGCCACTATTGCTCCCTGCACAGCCAATCACAAGATTGCATGGTCCTTTGTGCTCAGTCTTCGGAAATTCCAGCTAGTAATCTCCCTTCTATTACTTCTTATTTGACCTTAACTTTCCTTAAATATTATTTTGAAAGACGCCAAAGGTTACGTCTCAATCTACTGGCACAAACTTCCCAACAGGAAACTCAGCATAGAATGGCAGCGAATTTCGGTAAAATTCCAGATTGCATACTGCTTCAATGGCAAAGATTACTTGAGTTGGTCCAACTAATCTGGACTACCCTAAAGGGCAAAGGAAAACTAAACCATATCTAAGGCACTTGACCAAAAGCAGGGAGATCCCACTTTTAATTCTTGGGATGAGTGAGATTCGTCGATTATGACCTGGCTTTGGAACTTCATGGCACCAGAAATTAGTAAAACAATTATGTGTTTATCTACAACAAAGGAGATCTCGAATTCAATCCCAAAAATCTATTCCAAAAGAAAAGATGCAGCTCAGATATATGATTTGACCATCAAAACCTCGTCAACTAAATAAGCCAACAAGACAATCACAAGATATGCCGACCTTCTAAAAGTTCATTGCAAGAATGTGACGAATATCATAATATCACTATGAAAAGCAACAAAGGCACAGAAGTCTTGAAAAGACTAGTTGAGAAAGATAAATCATACCAATTTATAGAAAGAATTAATGTGAGTCCATAACCTGAGAAAGGAAGAAATATCATCCCTAAGGAGGGGATATCTATCCTCAACGCTGAGGAAAGCAGAAGCAGGATTATGCTTGAATCCTACACCACCAAGGACTCTGCAATGGTGATTAAAGGCTCCAAATCACATCAACTAGGAAAGGAACCAAATTACAGTGCGACCTCAGCTGCCAGCAGGAAGAACATAGAAAATTTTGGGTGTACCTTTTGCAAGAAACCAAGGCACACCATAGAAAAGTGTTGGAGGTTTCATGAAAAGCAACCATTTTTTAGCAAGGATTAGGGATACAAGAAGAGTCAGGGACAGGCATATATAGCCCAAGAGGAGAAGCTTACACAGACCTGTGATTTCAAGATAGAAATTGAGCACCTGCCAACCTGACTTAAGCAACTTAGAAAACCTAAAGGTACAAGTCTCCTAGCACATTCAGGTATGATTTTTATTTCCTGTGGTTTACACACCTCAGATAAATCATTTGCATTGTCATGGATCGTGGATTCAGGAGTTACTAACCACATGACCAACTCTTCTAAGCTGTGTAACATTTATGCTCTAAGTCCCAACAATAAGAAAATGCCACTGCTGATGGTTCACTAACCATAATAGCAGGAATTGGAACAATAAACCTTAATCTCTGTCTTACTTTTATGAACGTTCTCCATGTACCTAAATTATGCACCAATCTTATATTGTAACCAAATTATCCCATTGTCCTAATTGTAAAGTGATCTCTTTCTTTTTGTAAATTTTGGGACTAGAACTCAGGGAGGATGATTGTACGTGCTAAGGCTTGGGACATGTTATATCCTGCATACACCTGACGTACCCAGTACCATTCTCTCTACCGGTACATTTAGATAAGTTATGGTTGTATCACAAGAGACTAGGATACTCTTCTTTCTCTACAATTAATGTCATGTTTCCCTCTTTATTTTCTAATTGCAATAGTGAAAGTTTACACTGTAATGTATTTGAACTAGAAAAATATTGATGTGTAACCTTTTTCTTCTAGTAATAAAAGAAGTAATTTTCCTTTTCAGTTGATTCATTGTGATGTTTGGATCCCACTAATACTCCCAACATCTCTGAGGCACGGTAGTTTATTTCTTTCATTAATGATCGTACTCGGGTTACTTAGATTTTTCCAATTGAAATCTAAAACTAAACTTAATCGTGCTGTTCCTTAATACCATACCATGATTAAGACACAATTTGGGGTAACAATTAGATGTTTTAGAACTGATAATGCCCAAGATTACTTCAACCAAGCCTTAACCTCCTCCTTTCAAAAGGAAGGAATTCTTCATAAGCCTTTATGTGTCTATACTCCACTACAAAACAGGGTCGCAAGATAAAAAGAACAACCACTTGCTTACCAGAACACATGCTTTCTGTTTCAAAACAGTTGTTAAGTGATAAGGATTCCAGATTTGAGGGAATCGTAATCAAACTTTTCCAATTCTAGCATGATCGCCTTTCGGATTAGGATCCTTGATTCTAGACTGATTTAGACTAATCTGATTAGATTTTCTCCTACAATATCTCCTAGATTTTCATTTTTGTAAATGTATATAAACATTGTACAAACTAAATTAAAAAACACAGGTAACAAAAATGCATATAAACTTTTATATTTTGTACATGGCACCCCTTGGTGCCTATATTAAGGCACATACTTTTTTTCTTAAACATTGTAACTGAGTTATATTTGACGCAAATGAGGAGTGTTGATGCAAGTTGCATTTTGTTTTATAGGGAAAAGAAAGGGAATATTCAAGGCAATCAAGGAGGTGCACCATAGGTAATTACTAGAGCTAGATAGGGAAAAGGTTATATGATCTATGTACAAACTGCATGTTCTAACACAAACAACCATCTGCCAAAAATACAGTATAGCAGTATGCAAAGTCTTTCAATGGACAAATGGAACTGGGCCAACCCTAAAAAAGTTATTCTATTTCTCTTTCAAAGGAAAATAAAAGGCTCTTCTATTTCTCTCTCTCCAAAACATCCAAAGCATTAACCTTTTTCCTGGTTTCCACCATAATCCAAAGAGTGAAGAAATTAGGTAGCTAGAAACTCTTACTTAAAAATGGTAAAAAGAATCAATTCCATTTTTTTACGCTCTCAGAAAATCTTGACATGGAATAAGATTAGGAAGAAAAGAATATGAATTAATGGTGGAAGAGTCATGCTGTAAAAGAGAAATAATTTAAGATAGTATCTTTTTAGACATTTACTCCTTCATCCTGATTTTTGCCCATGAACTACTAATACCAAATGAATCATAATAAGCAGCACTTTCCCTGTGACCTGAGGGACATTGTAATACCATTTAGAGGTCAAGATACAACTGGAAGTTGAAGTATTGGTTTTACCTTGAGAATCCAGTTAATAGCAACAGCAGCAGGAGTAGCCCTGTTCCTAGAGACTCCAACTGAGCTCAAAAGGGTTTGTGTTGTGAAAACGCCCATTGCTCCACCAAAGAAGTGCTACCAAAAATGAAAGCACAATCAATACAGCAGTTTCAAGTACCAAAATTCTAGTGAACAAAATCAACACGGGGCATGTACACCCTTAACACTTCCGAAACAATATCTTGTTTTGGTTATTCCATCAAAAGCAAACTATGAGAAACACCTTCAAAGCTCTCCATGTCATATACGGCACATAAGATGGAGTTACACTCTCAGGAAAGCCTTCTGGTACTACATAGGATCTTATGAACGACATCAACTCCTGCAGCAAAAGACGGAGTGAGTGAACCACGGCATTATTAGAGCTAAAATGGTGGAGCCCTCTATCTTTGATATTTTTCTACTACAGAGCATGGAACTTACTCTTAGGTTTCCAAAAGAGAAATGAATATATAAGCTAAACAAGAGATTAATGTCTCCATGTCAATATTGTAGCATAATCTCCTGCATTGCAGGCAACTGCACTGTGAAATATACAGGTTAAGAGAATTCATTCTGATCAGCAGTTCTTCTGTGCTATACTAACAAGCAGAGATTCTGGTACATCACTACTGGTGGTAAAACGGAAAATGAGATTGTTAATAACAGTGATATTCCATGGAAAAATCACAAAAAGAAAAGCAACGGACAACATGTCAATAGCTCAGAATCATCACATTCCAAAAAGATCTATTAAATTTTGCATATTGACTCGTTCAAAATAAACATATAAAACCAGAGTGGAAAAGAAAAATGACGGTGAAACTAAGTCAAATTCAAGCAAGGAGAAGAAAACAAAAAGAACAAGCAAAAATTCCCAGGGAATCACTTGAATAATATGTGAACATGTTTTTTTCTAAAAAAAATGGAATTCAGAAAAGGCAACGCAACATCCAGGCAAGAAAAAAAAAAAAGAAAAACAGATACACGTACAAAAATATATAAAATATGAAGGCAAAATTAAAGGAGTGATGAAGAAGCAGAAACTAACATCGACGGGAGCCTGAGGAGTCTGCAAACTAATGGCACGTATGGAATTCTTTTTAAAACCACCGGCGGCGTCTTTCTCGGCAACGTACCTCCATCTCCGGCCATCGATTTCCTCACAACAGATCAATCTAAAGCTTGAATCGACGAATTCCTCTTCCACGAGGCCTCGCAATCTGGTTCCCTCGAGAGAAAGCAGAGGCTGAGATTGAGAAACGGATTCACCAGGATGATTAGCGAGAGACGGAGAACCGTGATTAGGAGGCGCGGATGCCAGATTAGCGCTAATACGCAGCGTTTCGCGAACAAGGAGCCGAGCGTCTTGTGAGGTAGAAGAAGCTGCGGCGGCGGTGGTGGAGGTTAGGGTTTGGGAAGGGGATTGTTTGAGATTGAGAGGCGGCATGGTGTAGAATTTGGAGGAGAAGTTGAAAATGAGGAAATGGTGATGGATTGTGGAGGTTTTAATGGCGAGAGAAGAACTTTGGAATTAACGTAAGAAGCAGCAGAAGGTAATTCTGCCGCGATGGCAGTTGGCTTTGTTAGCCTAGAAATGTACTTTCTCTGCGGATCTACTGAGGTGGAACAGAGTCCAGACACATCATCACGACACTTCATCTTCTTCTCTTTCTCTTAAGGCTCTGTTTGGCTACCGAATTTCAGTAACTTAATCCACCATTTCTTTATTATTTTTTTTATTTTAAAAAATCACCATTTCTTTCTAATTAATTAAATATATTTAGACCAAAAATTAAATATGCACATACCATATATTTTATTAATTTTTTAACATATATACGCGACAAATAGAGAGCAATTTAAATTTATAATTTTTTATAAAATAAATAAAATATTAATTAAAAAAATAATCAGTCAATTCAATAATAATTAATAATTCACTTAATAAATTAATAAATTTTGATTCCATAGTTATTTATATTATTATTTATATTAAATATCTCAATTTCAATTATTTTCTAGTGTAAAAAATTATTTAATAATTTATTTTAATTATTAACAAATAAATACATACTAATTTAAATTTATAATTTTTTATAAATAAATATAATAAAAATTATATAAATAAAAAATAATTAGTCAATTCAATAATAATTAATATTTCACATAATCCACTAACAAATTTAGATTCAATAATTGTAGCGCCCGGACCGAGGAAAAAAAAAGCCACGTGGCAAGACCACGTCGCTCCTGAACGGGCCACGTTGGCGATCCGCGTGGGTGCGATCGGACGGCCCATATCAATCGCGCGATTGGACGGCCCAGATGCAATCACACGGACGGCCCAGATTCAATCAAAAACGAACGGCCCAGATTAAAACAAAATGAACGGCTGAGATCAAAAGGCAAGGGGTTATAAATAGAACCCCCACACCAGACCACAAACCCTAGCCGCCTGCCGCTCGCCGGAGAAGACAAACCAGAAGCCGGCCGCCGCCACCCGCCGCCGCGCCGGGGAAATTTCTGACCGCCGATCGAGGTAAATTTCATACCCCCGACTCGTTTTCCACGCTGATTCCTCTTGTGGCCAAATCGGAGCCAAAATCCTGGCCAAACGGCCGGAATATGCGGTCGAAGGTCAGCGGCGCCGCCGCGCCCCCTCTCGGTTTTTGCCTCCGATGAGGCCTTTTCCGGCCTCCGTTTGATGCAATTTTTATATCACCGTGATCACCATTCTTTTCTCTACAGGTTGACCTGAGCCGAATCACCAAAACACGAACCTCGCCGGAGAGCCGCCGCACCCGAGAGCGCCGCCGCCGGTAAGCTCCGTTTTTCCGTGATTTTTTGGCCCCCCGAGGGCCCTAGGGTTGTTTTCTCACAGGGACCGATGCGAGTGTGGCCGAATTCGGCCGAAAATAGCCAACCCTAGGCGACTCGCCGCCGCCAGCGGCGGCGCCGTCGCCGGAGCACGGCGGAGCCGCCGTGCCGGAGTTGCGATTTGGGCCGAAAGAGGCCCTGGGCCTAATTTGGGTTTTTTTTTGGAACACGTGCAGGTACCGTTAGTGTGTTTCAGTTCCCCGGGAAAAATTCAGGGAAAATTAGGGACGGCCTGTAGGCGCACTGTGAATCGTATTCGGATCCCGAAAACAAGTAAGGACCCCTCACCCTATTTCCTATCACGGTATTAAAGTTCAAAATGATAAAAACGGTATTTCTTGAATTAACGAATGTGTGAAATTGCTTAAGGTTGCTAATGGAGCCCGAGTCTAGTGTGATTGATGATTTACTGTTATTTGGCCTGTTTTACAGCTTTAAATGTAGTATGAGGTTTGATGTGTTTATTTTATAGTTTCGAGTGTATATATTACATTTTTATTGGTTATGGGTTGAATGACTGAAAAACTGATACCGTATGTTATCTGTTTGGCATGAATTACGATTTGCTTGTTTAAAATGTGAATTGATAATGCTTACCGAGAAAGAGGAAAATGAAAGATTGTGTAAAACAACCCTAGGGCGACCGGGTCCGTAGGGAACCCTACCGGGATTGTGGTCTCCCATGCCGGACGGGGTATGGAGATCTTATGTGTTTTTGCGCCCATACCGGACGGGGTATGGAGACGGCCCGTTTCACCCTCATACCGGACAGGGTATTGAGATTTATGGTTTTGGCGCCCATACCGGACGGGGTATGGGGACGGCCCGTTTCACCCTCATACCGGACGGGGTATTGAGGTTTATGGTTTTGGCGCCCATACCGGACAGGGTATGGGGACGGCCCTGGAAACTGATTATGAATGTTAAAGGTTAACGGGTAGCGGGACCCCTATGGACTCCCATGGATACTAGTAGGCTGGTAAATGAGAAAAGGATATGTTGTATAATGATTGAATTACAAAAGGCGTGATAAGTGTTATATTTTACAGCTTATATTATTCCATGATTGTGATAATGTTATTGTTTTCTTATATTGTTTCATGAATTCCACCGAGGTAAGTGGATGGTAAAGGTTTTATCATAAATAAAAGGATTTGTTGCAAATCATGCTCCATTGGTCTTTTGTGTTTTTCTACCCACCTTTACCTCCGTGACGGTGAGATATCGTGATGTTCTTACTGGGCTAGTGTAGCTCACTCCTTATTTAACCATTTCAGATCAGGAAGACATGGTTCCCGAGCCCGTTCCGCAGGAGGACGACGAAGGGGATGCCTAGAGACTCTGTAGTCATACTCATAGTTTTATTTTCGAGTTTCTCTCTTAGTTAGTTTAATCTTTCATATATTAAGTACGTTTTTGGTTTCCGTGTAAGGGATGTTAACCGAAATTTTGATCTCGCTTCCGCATTTAATATTATAATATAATTTCCATTTTGAATTACCGGGGCTGTTACAATAATTGTCTATATTATCTTAATTATTATTAATATTTATTTTTTATTAGTATAATAAATAGTTTTTATTTTCTATAATTGAAATTTTAAAAAAAAAATCTGAATTTTTTATAATATTTTTTATTTGATAAACTAAATTAATTAATTTTATTGCAATATACATAGTTTTAATAAATAAATAATTAATTAATTTAAAATAACATTTCCATTTCTCCAACTTCTTTTCCCTCAATGAAGAAACCAAGAAAAGACGAAGCCAAACACGTACTTACGTGGTGTAAAACAGAGCGAACAAAAGGTGATGCGGTGTCGTTTTCCAAGAGAGCCACACGAGTTTCGAACGCAGCGCGTCTTGGCCCTACTGACGTGGCGGGATTAGGTGTCAGCGAGTTGCATAAAATTATACCCTAATGACACGTGGCATAACCCTAATTGTCTTCAAGATAATTCTAAGCCTGCCACGTCAGCTGTCAGCTCATCCTCGTAATATCACGAGTTATCTTTAACGGAAGTTAAAGGCAATCTTGATTTTTTTTTTTTTTTTTTCCAAATCTTATCCATTTTACTTATAATTCAACTTGAATTTGATTAGCTAATTTTATTTATATTAATTAAATATAATTATATTTATATTAATAATAAAAATTAAATATATTTATTATAAATAATATATATTAAATTATATTCATCAATATAAATATAACTATATTTATTAATATAATATGTTATAAATGTAAATATAAATATATTTAAATTTTAAAATATATATATTTATATATAACAATTAGATTTTGAATAAATTTTAGAAGCGCAAACTTAAACCCATCTCGATAATTCTTATTTTTTTCATTAACTGAATCCGACAGGATCAGAATTTGTTATTATAACAAAAAAAAATGTATTATACTATAATTACAAGCGTAAAAAATATTAATTTAAATATAAAAAGTAATAAGATAAAAATAGTGAAGTCAATATATTTTTTTTACCGTCAATTCTAATAGTTATTGTCTCTATTAACTGTAAGATGAATCGAACAATGAACGGATCGAAATAATTTAAGAAATAAAAGCAACTTCAATTAGGGTATTCTAGTTCGATATGTTACCTTCTCAATCTATCATGGTAGACAAAGGTAGTTTAGATCGAGACGCTCCCTTTCGAGTCCGGGGATCATTAGTCGGTCGTCGGATCGTATCGATTCGGGCTGGATCAACGGCCCACGTGCAAGCAATCAATCCTAGGTGCTCTCTACTCTCTGCACTTATAAACAAGGTCTAATGACACAAATACCCTCAGAAAACCAACCCAAGCTTTCGTCTTACACCTGTCAACCTTTCCCTGGCCTTTACCGAGAAAAACCAACTGCCGGTGATTCCCGGAATCCGTACTCGTTTTCGCGAGAAAATAACAGTAATTTTCTCGCGAAAACCATAACCGAAGAATGATCCAGCCGTCATGAAACTCTTCGCTGCCGTAGGACGATGAGGTTGAGCCATGGTCGCATTTTGAATACGCACGTTGTAGTCCCTTCTTCGATTCTCGATGGAACTGGAAAGAGAGCTTGTACCTTCTGTACAGTCACAGCATTCCGATCAAGAGAATGCGGAAGTGATCGAATGGGAGGATTTCGAGCAGGAGCTTGCGCGGCTTTGGAGTCTGTCTTCCGCCCTTAAAGAAGCTAAGGAAAAGAAAGAAAGCCTTCAACGGAAGCTCGAATCGGATATTCAGGTAGGGTTTGTTTTGTTGTGATGTCGATGTTTCCTAGGAGTCTTTATTTTTAGTGGAATATTACGTCTTTTTAACTGCTGATTAGCTTAGAATAATAAAGGTCGGAGAATTTGGGTGTTTTATTGAATTAGAGTTGCTTCTGTGGTGTTTACTTGCAGAGAGAAAAGGAGAAATATAGAAATTCAATCGGATTTTTCCTGAGAGTTAAAGGTAGTTCTGACCTCAATTTTTGAAATGGGGAATGTGGTTTGTCAGATGTAGAATTCTTCAGAACTAAGTCAACAGAGTTTGATTATCCATCGGAAAAAGAAAAAAGAATTAATTTGTTTGGCACCAAAATTTTCCAGGATTTCAAATCCTGAAATGATGAATGATAGAATCTGGAGTTTTTCTTCTGCTGATGTTATCATGTTCTGGTTGTGATAACTAATTACTGAAGCCGCTGGGCCAAGCATTTAAGGCCATACTCCAAAAGAAAGCTGTTTTAGTTAGCGGACTAACTACGTTGACTTGGTGTGTGTCCTCTATTTTCACACCTTACAGGTAGGTATAATCTCTTTTTGCTAAATGAGACAGACGGAATAGAAAGTAGGAAGTGTATCAGAATACTTCGTATATAGTTCTTAGTTCTGGAAAAGATGAATGTAAAACACCTTTTAGTTGAGGGAAAAAAAGAAAAAGAAAACCAGAGTCACTTCTCAAAGAAGTAATGGAAACTTGAGCCCATTTTTTTGGTTCAATTCCTACCTAATTCCTAAACTTAATCTTCTTATTGATCTTAATATATATACTTGAAATAACCATTAGGCACTTGTCCAAATGGTTATGTCCTCTTCTGTTCAAATTCAGAATGTGGGTTCAATGTCTAGTAAGTCTTGACCTGTACTAGAAAAAATACAACAAAATTTCCATATATGTCCACTTCCATCCTGAAATATCTTTCCAATTCCCAATTGGAGAAGTAGAAACTGGAAATTTCTCCTTTTAAGGAGTTCAAGGTGGAAGAAAGGTGATAAAAAACCTCTATGTTCTAATTTTACATATTAAGACTAATATCAAAAGTAAGCTTCAAATTCAACTAGGTATAAAAAGAGAAACCAAATGAGTCTGTATTGGGTTTATGAGATGCTTCCCTTTCCTTGGAAGTAGTCTTGTTATTTTCCTCTCCTTCCCCCATCTTTTTCGTTTTTCCTTAATATTATTCACAAAATTCTGCCTTCGTACAAGGGTATATATGAAAGGTCAAGTTATATAAAAAGTGCACCAACTATTCTATTGAAATCAACTAGATCAAAAAGGTCTCCTCTATATAAATTCTGTCTGTTGATCCAGAAAAAATTTCAGAATTCTCAACAAAAAATCTTCAACTCCTTGGAAGGATTATTTAACTCCTCCAGACATCCTCAATTTTCTCCGTCTCAACATTCCATAAACTTCTCTTTTATGGCAGGGAAACAGAGGACTAATGTTAATGTTGCATGGTGTTCAGAACTTATACTTTGCACTATTTTGTGGATTGAACTAATTTTGTTAATTTTAAGGATGCATGGTTCTAGATCTTAAGCTTTTTGATTAGGAGTCATCTGCTTTATTTTAGCGAGGATGCTGGGGACCTAGTATATGTTTGATTGACTTGTAAATATTTTATATACAGGTTGCACCCTCTTGGCGCTCATATGTATATAATTCATATTTTACTCTAAGAAAAAGAATATGCTTTACTTTCCATTATATTATTTCATACGGAAAAATTTATTTGATCCATATTATGAGTGAAAGCATAGAATATATTTCTTTTTACATTTTATTTAGCAGAATGTGTGGTGTTGTAACATTGATGCAAAAAGAGTAGGTACAGACCACCTAAATTGACTAGAGATCGTAATTCCATTAAATATAAAATTATTATACTATTTAGGAGTCTATTATTGTAGTTTTAGTAACTTTAGGATTTTATTCTTACTATTATTTAGTTTTTCTACTTATATTAGTCTTATTTGTTATAGTTCAAAAAAAAAAAAGTCCTATTTTGTTAAGAGTAATATTACTATTAGTTTCCTGTCAATTTTTCTTTGGGTTTCTTTGTCCTCAATTGATGGTCCCGCAGATTAGCGGGCGGCAACATGTTTGGGCAGGTCAAAGCTGTGTCAATGAGTCAGTCAAATGAGCTAGATGAAATGCGTCAGAAACTGGAGGTTAAAAAGTTGGTGATGGGAAACATGTCAGTGCATTGCAAGGTAGCTGCAGAGGATGTTAAAAAGAAAGAGGAAAATCTTAGAATTGAAGTTAGATCTCTATTGGTAGCTGGTACAGCTCTTTCTATGGCAAGGAAGCAATCACAGGTAATCTATATTAGTAAACTTTAGATTTTATTTTTATTTTTTTCAAAGAATAGTAAACTCTAGATATTAAGCATTCAAAAAGACACTGTTAAAAGAGTTTTGTTAGATAAAAAAAGTCAAAAGTCATAAATTATGAGGGACCAGAAAGCATAAAACTTGATGATTATTGTCTTCTATTTTAGTATATACTGGTTTGTTATATCGGATATAAGTCACTTAAAATGAGCTGTGTATACCAATTCAAATGCTAAAATGATATTGATGTGATACGTTCCATGGAAATGTTTGCAAGCTTGCTAAGACCTTTTACAGGCAGGAAAAATGAAATTGTGATTTAATTCCTGGATATGCAGACGTATCAGCATATGCAACTTTTATTATTTTCTAGAACATGGGAATAACATAATTTGAAGGTCTAATATTTTTTGCTTACTATTGGAGATTAAGGTGGAAACTTTGTCTTAAGCCAGATGATCTTTATTTATTAATTTCTTTATTTATTTTTGGAAAAAAACCAAAATCCATATGCTCATTTTAGTGGGAGCAGCTTTTGTATTTGAAGTAATTACACAGATCCACTTGATTTTGTTTGATGTGAAGCCTCTGTTATTCAATGTCTTTCTGGATATTCTTATTTAGGGGGTGTTGGCTCTACTTAAAAGTTGCCTATAAAGATCTGTGGTTTTATATATTTGGTAAATTTGTAACAAATAGGTGCTTATGAATGTCTTTTAAACATAAAAAGAGCACTTTTACCCCAGGTTTTGTATATTTATTGAAAGTGCTATTGTCTTGACATATTTAGTTACCTAGCATCCTTATATATATAGATAATATATTTTTTTACCAAAACGAAATAAGTGCTTATTTTTTAAATACACACTTTTATTGAGACATGTAACTATTTTATTTTCTAACTTTGATATGGTGCCTTTTGTTATAAGCATCTAATACTTAAGCACACTTTTTCTTTTTCTTAAAGCCAATAAACTCTTGATTGTTTAGCTGTACTGCACCATTTTATCATAAAAGTTAATCGGGTCCCTCTTTTTTTTGCTGTTCTTGTGCCAGTTACTTACAAAATCTGTATATAAAATGCTCAATTTTCTGTCTAGTTGACATATCCCCTTGTATTTTTACATTTTTATCAAATTGATGAGTGTATGAAGTTGGTGCTTTACTTTTTTATTGAAGTAATTAGTTCGTATATTTTCAACTTAAAATTATTTTTTTAACAGTAAAAAGAAAGTTAATGTCTAAAATTGCTATTACTAAAAGTAGCCTTAGTGTTACCAAATTACTCTAATCCCTTTCTCCCAAAAATCCAAATGCTTCAAGGTTCATCTTCTTCTCTGTCAGTATGTGAGAGCATGCTTTCAAGGTTAATTTTGTTGTCTTACCAATTTCTTTTCTGATGTTCATGTCTGTTTTGAACTTCAAGAATTAAGATTCATTGACCAAAATCTAAGTCCCATATAAGCAAATTCATCAAGTACAAAGATATTTACCAGAAGAACAAGGTTGAAGAAGTAATTACCCTGATGACACAAATGAGCTCTGGAATTAGGTTTCACATGGTTTTTCACCGTCGCTGGTGAAGATAACTTAACGCCCTTGAGGAAAAGGGACTGAAACAAAGACGCTGAGATGCATAAACCCGAGAAATTGTTAGGTCCAACCCTTTTTGGATATTCACTCTCGTTAATTTTTTTATTTTCTATGGATATACTAAGGTTGAAGCCAAACTTTCTGCATTCCCATTTGGAGAACCAGAGAAATTTTATGGGTAATCTCTGACCAAATTTTATAAAGAGCTTTACCAACTCATGCCAATTGGCGTCTTCTCACATACCCTTATTGAGGGAGAAGATGAACCTTAAAAAAATTGGGAGAAAAGGATTAGGTATTTTGGTATTGCAGGGGTTTTTTTAATCATTGTAACTTTAAATATTATATGAACTTATTTTTAACTGCTAAAAAATATTTAGACTATGTGCCAATTTGATAATGTGATTGTTGTTCCTCTTTCCCCTATTGGTATGTGATAGATTGTTGTTTTTGTCTTCGCTTTCGGCTAATACTCATCTCCTGTGGGTCCCTTTTATCTATCTGTAAGAGACGTATCCTCCTATTGGGTATTCTCTCTTTCTTTCCTTCTAATAATGCTTCTTATACCAAAAATTGGTTTCAATATAATGCTGGAATTACAATAATTAATATGGTCATATACCTTTGAGAAAAGAAAAGAAATACGGCCATATATTAGATGGCCATCAGTTGCTTTTAATAGATCAAAGGTCACCTTCCTCTCCCCTCCTCTTTTCCTCTCTATTAATCAAATGTTACTGGAGTTTTAAACATGTGGCAAACTTTGCACTTTGCTTTTGACACAGGAATCAAATAGCTTACTGATTGGAGAAAGAGGTTATGCACACCTGAAAAATATGCACAGGAAGTTACGAATGAGGCAACAATATATGATATCACAAGTGTCCTTACTTTATCCTGTAAAGATCTTGGTTGGACCTGCAGAGGAGCAAGAACTTGAATCATTTCCAGGTTCCAGTAGATTGGTTAATGACAGTGCCATCTTACTTTAATCATAACATTCTTTTTCCTCAATGTTTTTGTTTTGTATTGCTTCTGTGCTGTTGTGTGCTTACCATCCAGTTGCCTTTACTTAATGGTAATCTAGTGACTGACTTTTGGTTTTAGAGGATTTTTAGGATTGTTTATGTCATGCTTATAAGCAGCTTTATGCACTTTGCTCCAATCTCCTTTTTGGTAACATAAAAACAGATTGCTTGTTATGTTATTAAAAGTGACTTCAAAGGTAACCTCATTCCTAACCATTTTTTTTTTTTTCTTTTTTTTTTTTTGTTTGGTTTATATATATGTAACAAATTTACTTAACTACCCTTTCATATCCACTTAAAATTAACAATATATATTTTAAGAACGATGTGTTATATGTTTTATTGAATAATATACCTCTATATGTACAAGTCTCGAGAATAAGGAATGACTGAAAATTATATGTCTCTCTTGACTATTCCGGTGAGTGTTGTAAAGAAGTTGGAAGTTATTCAATGTAGATTTCTATGGGTGATTCTAAGGATAGGAGATATCATCTGGTACCCTGGGAGGAGATTAAGAAGCCTTTTCCGTATGGAGGTTTAGGGGTAAGATCCTTGGTGGAGATGAATATAGCCCTACAAGGTAAATGACTTTGGAGATTTATGATAAGAGAGGGTACCTTGTGGAAAAGGGTGATAGACGCAAATTTCAGAACTAATGAAAAAGGACAGTACACCAAAACATTGTCAAGACTGCATGGGAGAGGAATGTGGAAAAAAATTTGTATGAGAAGGGATAGATTCCAGGCCTGTATTAAATGAAGGGTTGGCAAAGGTGATGGAGTCAACTTTTGACAGGATTGATGGCTGGAGCTTGGAGTCCTTAGAGACATTACCCATAGATATTTTCTATAGCATAACAAAAAGATATTTTGATCAATGATTCATTCAAAGAAATTGGGAGAGGATAAAAAGAGTGACAGGTAGATGTGTTGAGGAACCTTAATGATTGAGAGGTTGTTGAGTATGAGAATCTTCTATTAACTTAGTCACTCATAACTTTGGATGGTAGCAATGATCAACTTTTATGGAGTCTTACTACTACAAGTTCCTTTTCGGTCATATCTTTCTATAAGCAGGAATATTCTGGTTCAGGGACTCCCTTTTAGACAAATTTGGAAGATTTAAGTCCCTCTCAGAGTGACGTTCTTTATGTAGGACACTAGAAGGGGATGCACCTTGACCATTGATAAATTGATGAGGAGGGGAATAACTTTGGTGAATAGTTGTTACTTGTGTAAAAGGGATGCAGAATCTTGCAATCATGTTCTTCTATGGTGTCCGATAAAAGTTCTGGCATATGGTTTACGGATTACTAGGTGTCAGCTGGGCGATAGCGGATTCGGTTATAAATGAATTATGGGCATGGATGGGCATCTGTGGCCGGAGGAAATATGTGGACCTAATCCCGCTATTATCTTTTGGGTTATTTGGAATTAGAGGAATAAAAGAGTTTTTGAGTGGATTGATGATGTTGGAGATTTTGAGAGAATTAAGAATAGTTCGTTTCAGACTCTTGACTTATAATTTTGGGTCATACTCTATCTTATGAAGGATTTTAAGACCTTGTTGATATTTTTCTAGATTTGTAGATAATTTGTGTACGGGTTAGCACTCTTTTGGTGCTTGTTAATATAATCTTATACTTTTTATTTAAAAGAAAATTGTATAGGATGTATTTTACCACAATATTCTTTAACCAGATTCAATCCTAATAAATTATTTTGGTAATAAGCTATGAAAACTGGTGGTGATGGTGACTATAACAGCCTATGAAGGCTGACTCCTTTTAGGTTTTTCTTATTTCAGTAATGAAGGTCGATTATAGTTTCTAAAAGAGTTTGAGTCTCTTAACCTATAGCTCTGATATCATGTAAAGAATTATGTGTTCTATGTTTTGTTACATAATATGATCCTATATATATATAAGTTATCGCGAATAAGAAAGTATATCAACAATTAATTACATAGGGTGTATTTTACTATAATACCTTTTAGCTTAGTGTAACCTTAATTAATTACATATAATGTACATTCTCTAACATATATAATAATGTAGACTATAAAATATTTGTAACATGTATATTGTTATGGATTTTTTAGTAAAAAATAAATTTTTTTGTTAGTACTTTATCCAAATGCATAGCTGTTTATTTATAATGTAAACTATAAAATATTTGT